ATTTCCATGTCCGTGGGCTTGATGACTACATAAAATGTGAGCTTTATGAGGAAACTTTCTCTTGCAGAAAAAATGCCTGCAATTGTTAAATAAATAAATAAATAGGAAGTTGTATTGGTGAACTCTGTGGATATATTTTATTATTAATTATGTTACCATTTGCTTTTGCATATGTGCTTTCAATAGGGATGATATTCCATTCGTAGAAGCTAGTGTAGTGATTTGGGTTGAAAATTTGAACTCTAAATGTCATCACTCCAATGCAGAAAAATATATTAGTGAATTTGGCTGCAGATTGTGATCGTCAATGAATATTTTTCATCCAGAGTTTTGAGGATTTTCATCTAGTTTTAGAAACCATATTTTGTTTCCAACTTTGAAAATTGCTCTTCTTCTTATGTGTGGTTCCAAGTAATGTATAAATTTTGGTGGTATGACCTGCAATGAAGAGCTAAATACGTGTTAAATGTGTTTTGGAGAAAAATTGATGTAAATTAGGGAAATTTTATAAAATGAATACCAATGTATCATTGTGGTTCATCATACTGCATCAAGAATGCATTGATTGGAGAAACTGTAATGGACAAATAAAATAATAGTTAGTTATAAAGTAAGATGGATATATTAGGTTTTTATTTGTTTTAAATAGTAATTGTACTTGAATAAAGATGAACCGGTGGATATGATTGTATAAAAGAGGCAAAAAAATAGTGTTTTTACAATATAATTAAAATACTCATGATTATAATTGTGTAATAAAATATAAAGCTAAAAGCTCAAGGTATACCAAGAGCAAATGCTAAGAAGAGGGCTAAGAAAATAATCTAAATTTGGTAGAAACAACATTTTCTTTGCTTTAGCCAGCCAAAGTAGCAATGATTACATCAAAACTTCTTTGGATTTTTTTATGGATATATATTGTTTTATTTTCTTTATGAATACATATAAATGTCTATATAAGTTGAAACTCATTGTTCCACATAGAATTTACATTACATGGTATATTTTGTAACCGTCATTGGTTAGTACAATTTCAAATAAATTAGCCAAAGATACAGCAATCAACTAAAGTAGTTATTTGCCTATTCATGCAAAGCATTCACCCTTTTATATACTTTTATATATATGCGTGTGGTTCATAAACCAAACATTCGAAGAACTATTGGAATTACGAAATTAATTAAAAAATTAAAATATTGAAAACATGAAAAAAAAATTTGAAAATGAGAAAGACAAATTCTAAGAATATAAAAGAAACTAGTAAATTATAGAAAATATAAAAGGAAAATTATGAGCATGCACATGGAGGACCTAAAGAATGGATCATTGATGCTAGGTCTAAGAAAAATTTCCAGAACAAACAAGTGAACAAAGAAGGGAAATATCAACAAATAAAATAAGCATAATATACAACATAGACTTCTTGAGAATAAGCAAAAGAAATGCAACTCACTTGAGAAAGAAGTTTTGGAAACAAAAGAAAACAATAAAAGCAAAAAACAAAGTACTGCAAAAAGCAGTATAAAGAAAAAAGATACTAAGGGACATAAAATAGCAGAGAGACAGCAATTTGTTATTCTGCAAAAGAGTAAATAAATAAAAAGGTAAAATTGATAAAAAAAAATAAATCAACAAACAGCATCATTAACAAAAAGAAAAATCTATAACTGCATATCTTTCTAATAAGTTTGCAAATGACAAAAACAAATCAAAAATATTAAGAAGCGGGCAGTTTAGTCGGATGTGTTTTTTTTTTTTTTGGAAGTACCATGAGCATTTAATGCAGGGGCAAAGGCGGCACTGTAAGTGGCAAACAAAAAGACAGAAAATTTTACCTGCTCCACGCTCCACAGAAAATGTAGCACAATAGCGGGTAACAAAATTACCGATTGGCCAGGGGAAGGGAAGCAGAAGCATAAACAATTAGTGAAAGGGAAAAGAAAGGGGCAAAAAAAGTACCAGAGAATAGGCAATGCCATAATACAATACAAGGCAAAAAAGGTACACATGATATATAGCATTGCAAATATAAAAGTAAGTCAGAGTCAATTAGTCAAACAGTGAAGCTTCTAACAAAAGGAGCTTAGAAACAAAAACTGATGTTTGCGGTCCACAAAAGAGAACAATAAAAAATAGGGCCAAAGAAGAAGTAAATTACGAAGCAGCCAAACAACTTGTAACATAGATCTTGGATCAAGGCAAAAATGAATGACATAGGCGGAAAATAGGAAACATTTTCAGGGTCTGTTTGTTTGGAAATAAAATATTTTCCTTGGGAAAATATTTTCCGTGGAAGTAATTTTCCATGAAAATCATTTCCCTTTCATCATTTTCAGGCGTTTGGTTAGCTTATTGAAAATATTTTCTTACTTCATTTTTTTGGTGTTTGTTTAACTTTTGAAATATTTTCACTTTTATCTCTATCTTTACTTTCTACATATTATAACTACATACTTCTTCCCATGCAAAATAAGAAAATTTATCTCATTGTTTAACTTTAAAAAATCTTGGAAAAATGTATATATGAATAAAAAATATCTCCTTAAGCAATAAACAAATTGTTGGTCATTTAGTATCAAATATCAATCACATGCAATGCTTATTGTGACATATATCTTGCACTCTCACTGCTGAAAGTTTCTCTAGAAAAAAATGTCCCTATTATACATAATTAATTACTAGCATAGGATGAGCAGGATGAGGTTTCTTTTTTATTTTGAATATACTAGGGGGAGGGTTGGGTTGGGTGGCACGGGGGAGGGAGTGTAAGGAAAAGATCTTGGGTTCGAGTCTTCCTGTTTACACTAAAAAAAAAAAAAAACATACTACAAGATGTTTTCAGTAAGTTTGGAACATATTACAGGTGAGATGCATGCATTTCGGAAAACAACTTCAGTAAGTTTGGAAGGGAAGTTGTTTTCCATAAGATGAGTGAAAATATTTTACATAAGAAAATGTTTTCAGTAACTTTTGTGCAACCAAACACGGGAAATTAGAAAAATATTTTCCTGGAAAATATTTTCACCTTAAACAAACGGACCCCTAAGGCTAAAGCAATACCTCCAAATCCATGACACCGAGCAAATGGACCATAATAGGGCAAACAAATTGACCAATGGCCAAATAACCAACCAAGACACTTTTTTATTGTTCATTCAAGCAACACCCACTTTTATATAGTTAGATATATATACACACACATACTAAAATTTATTATCATTTCTTATATTTATATACTTTTTTTAATTAATTTTACTTTTTCAAAATTCGAACATCTTAAGTATATTTTAACGAGTACCCATGGCACCCTTAGATGACTCTTTCACAATTAATAGTAACACAACATGCACCTACTCTGTCATATGCAAAATGTTTTCTACTTGTTTCTATAATGATTTTTAGCTTTTTACCTCTTTATTACTTTGAATATAGTAAGGCACAACCTTAGACATGTTACAATTACATATTTTAAATAAAATTCATTACATCTTGCCAGCTTATTGTAGATTTCTTTGTTTAAATACCCTTTTTTTTAACTTTTTCTGCAAATTTATTTGGTTATTGACAAATAAAAAAAGAATGAAAAGGATCAGTGCGTTCAAGCTTTTGTTTTATTGTATAAATTTTGTTTCAATAAAGAAATATAATAAATATATTAAATAAGGAAAAATGCATGATTTAAAAAGTATTCTTTTTTGTCGGATATTAGAATAAATTAAAAAAATGAGTTTTTTGCCAAAATAACCATTTTTTTTCAAAAAATATTCATACAATGATTCAACTCCAAATTTTATTACTAATCTCATCTTCTGACCTTATCCCTAATAGGAACCAACCTAAAATCAAAACTAAAACTTCGGAAAGAATTAATTGAATGAACAGAGTGATGGAGACACCTTTCCTCAGCCCTACATGCTATTCCCCCCATATAGCCATATGCACAATGAGTTCCCATTCAATGCAGTATGACAAAATCAAAACTAAAACTTCGGAAAGAATTAATTGAATGAACAAGTGATCGAGAGTTTTGTACAAACATACTAATAATTTCAATATTGCTAGATTTGTAGTGAGCTTTTTCTTTTTTTTTTTTAATAGGAAAGAGAGCATCAAAAAGAGAAAATCACCACAACTGGAATGGAGATGAACAATCAAAATTTTAGACTTTGCTTTCGTGTTGGTATAATTCCAATTTCCCTAGATTTGTAGTGAGTTTTTCCTTATTTTCCTTTTTTTTAATAAGAAGTAAAGCATTACAAAGAGAAAATTACTGCAATTGGAATGGAGATGAACGGTCAAATTTTAGATTTTGCTCTCATCTTTGGAAATATCGTCAGGGTTATGTTAATTATTCAAAACTTTTGCTCTCATATTTGGAAATATTGTCAATTTTATGTTAAGTATTCAAGACTTTTTTGGATAGTACAGTGACAAGTAAAGGCAGAAAGAGTATTATAGTCAAAAAGGAAAAGATAGATTCAGAATAGAGTATTATAGTCATGTAGGAGATTTTTGGGCCATATTAATGGCTAATGAAAGGTTTTGCCCTTTTTCTCATTTCCATTTGAATTTGATCGAATGGATAACAGAAAAGGTTGTTACTAAGGATGGCAATGCGCGGGCACCCGCCTTGCGGAGGGCTCTTGTGGCAGGAGTTGGGGCAGGGGCGGGGGTGGGGGGAATTTTTCCCCCCATTTAGAAACGGGGGCGGGGAATTATACCTCTGCCCCGCCACCCGCAAAAAAAAAAAAATATATATGTATATAATTATATATATAATATTTAATTTAATTAGTTATAAACTTATGATAATGATATTATTAGTTATATGTATTATATAATGTATATTAATATATGCAATATAATTGATATTATCAATTATACTAATAATTATATATGTCTACTAATAGAATTTATTTTTTTTATTTTTTTTATTTTATAAAAAAAAAACCTGTTTTATTCATAAACCAGAACACAATGCCAAGGAATCATCCAAATCCCTACATCCTAAGAGAAAAACGAAAACTACAAAAATTCTGCATGTCCAGAGATAAAAGCCCCCTGGAGCGCAAGGGCAACTGAGACGCTGACATGAAAATAGATCGAGAGCCACACTCCACCCCAAACGTTGCGAGCGAGTCCGCCACCATGTTCCCCTCCCAGTAGCAATGACCAAACTGATGGCCAGCAGAAGTAACCAGACGAACAGCACGAACAACTGGCCAAATCACCGCAGGAACCCCCCAAACCCCCTTTAGACAATTGACTAAGACCAAGCAATCAGATTCAACAAACATCTGCGAAATCCCTAAGCTGTACCCCAGCTGAAGCCCTAACAAGAGAGCCCGAGCCTCAGCTTGCAGGGAATCCAGAGAGCCAAAAGAATCCGCAAAAGCAATAATGAGTTTTCCCCTCGAATCCCTAATCACCCCACCGCCCCCACTACCACCGACCATAGAACAACCGTCAGTGTTAAGCTTAAAAGAACCCTCCACAGGGAAAGTCCACCTCACCGCCTTAGCTACTAACACCCTTCTGGCCGAAGATAAAACCTCTAGGAACCCCTCCCACTGGCAAGGCAAACGCGCGATCCCTGGAAAGTGGATTTGAGCTAACCTTTACAATTCGGAACAGATAGAAACCCGAACCTGAAACCCAGAAACCTTGCACCCCTCAAACGTGGATGCATTCCTGGCACACCATAAGAACCATAGAATTAGGACCGGAAGAATCCGGGACACCCAGCAGAGCGCCTTCCCTTTAACAGGGGACATCCACCAATCAGAACATCGAGACCTAACGGCCACACCTCGTACAGACACTCCTAAGGAGCGCTCAAAGAACATCCAAGTCGTCACACCCGCCAATTGACCAGTAGAGAACACATGCTGCAACGTTTCACCTTGGGCCGGCGAGCAACAATGACACTTAGAAGGACCATGAATCTGGAATTTCCGCAGCACATCATCCACTGGCAGATGGCCATTTAGTAAACGCCACATGAAGAAGGAAAATTTCCGCGGAACGGACGACTGCCAAATATAGGAACACACCCAGGAGCGCGCCCGAGCCGGGCGAACAAGCTGATAAGCAGACCTCAACGAAAAACCCCTGAGGGATCCAAGCTCCAGACCAAAGCATCGGGTCCGATCCAAAACAAAAGAAGGACCCTTGAACCATCTCTATAATCTCCGAGGGGAACCCCGCTAAAGCCAAGTAGTCCCATTGACCCTCCCGTAGAAAATCCGAGACCATTGCATTTGACGCCAAATCAGGATACCGCCATGCCAAAGGGCCCAAACCACTCCAGTTGTCCCATCAAAAAGCCACCTCTCCCCTAGAAAGATCCAACTTTAACCATTGCTCCATCGTCGACCGGACCCCAAGCATACGCTTGCAACTAGCAGACAGCTGAGCAGGAAACGGAGCTTGATTCGGGTGTCGAGACCCAAAATATCGTGCTCTCATAAATTTCGCCCAAAGAGATTGACCACACCGAAACATCCACCATAATTTACAGGAGAACGTCGCAACGACCGCCTGGAGGGACCGAAACCCAACCCCCCTTTCCTCCTCCGGGAAGCAAAGCTTCTCCCACATCGCCCAATGACGTTTGGCACCAAATTCCGATTCGCCCCAAAAGAATCTAGCAAGCATCCGCTCGAGGTCAGAGATGATCCCCCTTGGAGGTTCCAAAACTGCCAGCATATGAATCGGCATGGACGAAAATACATGCTTAATAAGCAATGCCCGCGCACTCATTGATAACCATCGGCCCTGCCAAGACGAAATTCGGTGAGATACTTTGGAGAGTAACTCAGCGAATAAAGACCTCACTCTTCTCCCCCCAAACAATGGGCAACCCAAATAGGTTACTAGCAAAGTCTTAGCAGGGAACCTAGTGACCTGCTCAATTAACCTCCGACGGACCAACGAGACCCTCCTATCTACCAGAAAACAGCTCTTTGCAACATTCACCAACTGCCCAGACACCCCCTGATAGCCCTCCAGCACCCGCATGACACACCCAAGGGACCGCTTACCACCGTTAAGATGCGTGAGAGAAGGGCATTCCCGCGTCACGAAGAATGGAGCAAACCTCGACTCCCCCGGTAACTCATTCAAGCTTCTAGACAACACCTCAGCCGCTATAATAAATAAAGCCGGGGATAATGGGTCCCCTTGCCGTAGACCCCGAGACGAATGGAAAAAACCACACGACTTTCCGTTAACCAATACTGAGAAGTGGCACGAAGAAATTAACCTCCAAACCATATCCAGCCATTGCTCCCCAAACCCAAACCTACGCATGACCTGGATCAAGAAATTCCACGATACCCGATCATATGCCTTGGCCATGTCCAATTTAAGGACAACATTGGATCCCCGTACCTTCTTCCCCAAGGCTGAACACATCTCTAAGGCCAAAAGTATGTTATCCGATATCTGGCGACTCTTCACAAAGCCACTCTGCTGTTGCGAGATAAGTCATGGCAAAACACGCTCCAAACGTCGCGCCAACAGACCAGATGTAATTTTATTAACAAAGTTACACAAGCTGATAGGGCAAAAGTCTGAGAAGGATGACGGCCCAGGAGTCTTAGGGATCAGGGCCAACCACGTAGCAGTGTACCCCCAAGACAGCTCTGCACCTGCAAAAAAATCACAAACAACCCGATAGACCTCCTCCTTCACAATATCCCAACATGAAGTGAAGAATGATCCTGTGAAACCATCCGGACTCGGACTACTACCACCATCTAGTTGAAAAACCACAGCCTTGACTTCCTCCTCCGTCGGAAACTGCTGAAGCTCCATGTTATCTTGCACAGTGATAACCGAAGGTATAACCTCTAGCATCGAAAGATCCATCGGCCCATGTCCTGGTTGCGACAAAATGTCCGCAAAGAAAGTGGTCGCCAACTCTTCAATCCTGGAGGGCTCTTCCGTCCATACCCCATTCGTATCCTTCATCCGATGGATGAAAGACCGAGCCCTCCGCTGCTTTACTTGCGCATGGAAGAATTTGGAATTGGCATCGCCTTCCCTAAGCCACCGAAGCCGTGCCTTCTGATGCCAGTAAACGGCCTCCCGTAACAGGGACATCTTGGGCGCCCCTTGCGCCCGGAGGAGCTGGAATTCACCCTCCCCCGAGGGACATTCCTCCAAAGAGCGTTCCAGTGCCAACACTGTTGCCTCATCTTCCTTAACACGGTCAAAAATGTTGCCAAATGTCTCCTTATTCCATGTACGCAAAGCCTGCTTGACCGCCTTTAACTTCGCAAGTAGAACCCGAATGGGCCGCCCATCACACTCCACCTCCCACGCTTGACGAACTATATTATGAAAATCAGCATGTGCCCTCCAAACGTCCAAGAAACGAAAACTCTTAGGCGCCCCACCCATGGCCAAAGAACAAGACAATAACAAGGGGGAATGATCAGAGGCAACCCTATTCAAATGAGCCACCGTCGTGTTCACCCCTAAACTCGACCAATCCTGGTTAACGAGTACCCTGTCCAGGCGTTTCCAAACCCTGGCTCTGCCCCAACGATTATTGCACCAGGTGAACTGAGACCCAAAGAACCCTAAGTCTGTTAACTCAGCACCCTCCATGAAACTCAGGAAAGGCTCCGACTCCCTAGCACGAAATGGGCGACCCTCTTTCTTTTCATTCGCCCCGACAATGACGTTAAAATCCCCTAAAAAAATTGCCGGCATCCCTTGAGGGCACACCTCTCCTAACTGTTGCCACATCACCTCCCTATCAAGAGAGGCACACGACGCATGGACAAAGACCGCTACAACAGAGCAACGGAAAACAGCATGTGTAACCTCCAACGCCAAGAACTGCTGTGAGGCAACCAACAAATCACACCTATAGTCTTGCCCATACGTCACCCAAATCCGACTCTCATCGTTGGAGATAGCATGACGAAAACCCAGCCTATTCCGAATAAAATCAAGCCGCTCGCGACCCGCCTTTGGTTCGCACATCGCTAGCAAAGAAACCTGATGCATCCGCTTCAACTTCCTTAAACGTGCAATGGTGAGAGCATTATCCACTCCTCTGACGTTCCAAAACATAGCCTTAATCATGATCGTGGTCGTAGAAAGTAAGGGGGGTGAATCACATTTTCTCCTATTGCGACGGCTCACCACCGTATGCCACTCCTCCGGGTTTTTCAAAGCATCCAACCGCGTCTGCACCGCATCCCTAACATCCGCCTTGCGAGGAGAAAGATTAAGGTTAGCGACCATAGCCCCCTGCTGCTCCCTCACCTCCACCCTGACCTGCTCCACTGAACCCGCTAGCTCAAGACCACCTCCCCCAAGCTCCCCCAATTCCAGGTCAGCCCCTATGGACGACTCATCGGAGTTGTCGATTACTTGATCAGCCAACCTGTGAATGAGGTTGTCAGCAGCGGAAGCAATTGCCTCCTCCACCAGCTCCGCCACCCGAAACTGGGACGGCGGTGGATTAGCAGGCAGGACACCCAAATCTATTGTCAAAACTGGTGCAGCAGCTGATCCCAAACCCGATTCTAACTCACCCCTCGTCACAACCGTACGTTCAAGCCCGAACTGTTGGAGCTGTGCAGAAAAGATCTGCTCTGCATTCGCACCTTCAGTCGCAGGCAACAGCAGGGCATCCGAGCACAACTTGCCTGATAATGTTCGTTCTAATGCCCGCGGCGCAACCGCACCTGCAAGCCCAGGTTGTTGGGACTGAGCCAAAGTGACCAGCTCCGCACCTTCAGTCGCAGGTAATAACGGAGCATCAGAGCCCATCCCTGAAACTGCTCCCTCCAAAGCCACAGGGGGCTCCTCCACCCCAGGCAAAACAGCAGCCCCACTGCCATCAGCCGCATCTAGCGACTCCCCTGCACCCACCGGAGGCTTTGAAGATGCAATCAACTTACCCCCATCATCCAATTCTACAGCACTACCAAGGACCTTCTGAGTCGGCCCCTTCGACACTCGCATCTCTGGGAACTTCACATGGCAGTGGCCCTCCTCATGCCCATGACGATAGCAAAAACCGCAATACTTTGGAAGGCTCTCAGGGATCAATGGTTGCCAGAATCCATCTCCATCCCCCATGTCTACCCAAACTCTAGAGGGAAGCGACTTCAGTAGATCCACCTCCACACACACCCGCGCCACATTCGAACGAATAAAAGACGATGTTGCCGCATCAACAAACAACGGGTTCCCCAGGCAGGAGACAATGTGAAACAAACAAGGCTTGGCAAACAAATGGATAGGAAGCTTGGGTAATTTGAACCAAATGGGAACTAGGGACGATTCCCTATCGACATGAAACTTCGAACTCCACTTGAAAACCCGCATAGGACACCCATGAACATACCACACATTTCTTGCCCATACACAAAGAAAATCTGCCTCTCCATTAAATCGCAGCAAAACATGTCTAGCGTCTAATAAACCAACA